TACTGAAATGTGTACACTAATGCTCTACCCAGAATTATAGCGGACGATGGTAAAAAGCTGAGCAGTGGCCGCAGTTAAAATTAAATATCTTTTCGGTACAGTGAAAACATTGGACAACTTGTGAAAATAATAAATATTACTACAATCAACACTCCGTCAAATCCAAGTCAGTTTGCGATAGATTAACGTACTTTGCATGAAAAAAATCATTGCATCTATTGCACTGAATCTTAGACTTTATGCGGTCGACCTTTTGACCACAAACACAAGGCATTGTCAAAAGCGAAATCAAATAGTAAATGTAAATGTCCTAGTGTCCAAGTAAAACGAGTAAACAGAGCGTTTTACTCTCGCACATAACAAACGCACACGATAGAAATTAAAATATCCGAACCGACAAGCGCTGAGCAGAAACACGTCACAAAGCACACAAAAACACGTCAAATTATCCTAAATTTTGTAAAAACTTTGAATAATTAATTTATATGCCATTTGATGCAGAATGAATACATATACATATGTCTTATGTCGAGAAAATTTTTTGGGTGTAAAAAGGTTTTGAGGCACCAGCTACAAACCGCTGGACTTAATCAAGAATAAGCTGATAAAAAAGTAGGCTAATTTTTTGCTTAGCCTAGATGGTGAATATGAAAAAGTCCAAAAAATGGCTAAACTAAGTTAAGTTGAGTTGGAGAAACCCAGCCTATGTTGCCGAAAAGGTCTCGCTCAAGACTATAATTGGTCATTAAGCAATTTCGTAATACGGCTTAATGCACATATCAGTAAGTTTGTAGATGTAGGCGCCAAGGAAATGTAATGATTAATTAATCAAAACTTAATGAATTCAAAAACGATTTATGGTACAACGTCATTAACTACATCTTGATAATTTGATAATTTATAGAACATAAAATCATAAAATACTGCCCTACTATTGTTATTTATATATATTCGGTCGCTGGCTAACATCGATTGTAGGAGCTTATAAATGTACATACATACATATGCATTTACTGTTCTTTTTTTTTCAAAACGATATATGAAAAAGCTGTATTAAAAATATTATTACCTTAGTTAGTATTAAAGTGGAAGGCTATGCACAATGACGTATACACTACCATTATTGCTAATTTCCTTGTTAAGTAGCAATGCCGCAACGAATTTGGAAGCTTTTCAAAGTTTGACTACTGAAGCAGTTTTCTTCAGTACAATACATCGAATCTATGTTGAGGAGCCTTTCGAGACCATATTTCTATTACAAACAATAAACAATGCTTGCATCTCATCAAAAAAGTTATGGAAGCTGTTGAAAGTACCGCTGCTCATCGCCTCGGGCAGTGCACCGGCAGATAAGCTGAAGGAACGTTTCAACAGCAAACAACTCGCTATAACGTGTTTGTCCGCGCATCCCGATCGCCAGCTTCTCAATGTCTTGGCCAGCAACTTGCAATATAGCCGACAGACTCGTATTATCTTAAATATCGCTGATGCGAAACCCACTCCCAACCTGCTCGTTTATTTGCGGAAATACTTAGAAAATAAACTTATGCCGAATGTGATTGCGATCTTCTCCAATTTCTACACAGAAAATATCTACTACCGATATCATCCATTTCCGAGCGGCCATTGGGTTCGAGAATTTTTAAACAAAACCGAGCGCTTCTTTCTGTGCCACCTCGCAAATATGCAGGGGAAAACTTTCAAGACTTCGCCTGGTCAAACTGCACCTCGCACAATGATCTATGAGGACGAGGCAGGCCAACAACACTTAAGCGGCTATCTCGGTTACATGATGACCACCTTTGCGGTGAAGCACAATATCAGTTGGCAGTATTTAAAACCAGTTATACCAGGCAGCAGCACATATTCGGGGGTTATAATTAATTATACCAGGGAAGGGATACTGGATGTTGCCATCACTCTGGGCTTAGCCTCCCCTCACCCGTTTACATCATATCCTGTGGAGAATATTGAATGGTTTATTATGTTGCCATGTCCGCAACCAATTGAATACTCAGAAATATATGCGATGGTCGTTACAGCGCAAGTTATTGGCATTTTGGTGATTCTGGATTTGCTCTTCTCGCTGCTGGAGACTTTTGTAAAGCACAAATTCTATAAGCGGTCAGCTGAATTCAATCTGCACAATATTTTGCTGAATGAAAATATTTTTCGCGGAATTTTCGGTCTTACTTTTCATATTAGGCGACGTCCAATACTTTGCTTAAAGATGCTTTACATTTTTCTATTTTTACTGGGTCTATTCGTTAACAACATGTACTCAGCTTATTTTCAAACTTTGCTCACAAGTCCGCCTCTTAAGCGGAAAATACTCACATTTGATGATATGCGGCGGGCAAATTTGAAAATCATGTTTGATCGCTACGAATTCCAAGCAACTCAGAATGTACTTGACTCTGAATTTCACAACATATTAGAGGGCATTTCGCAGCTGGTGGATACTGAGACATTTCAACGCCATCGTGCAGAATATGACACAAAATATGCCTATACTATGCCGGAATCACTTTGGCCTATTTTCGAACTGCAACAGCGAACATTTGAACGTAAAATATTCTGTTTGGCTCCAACTTTAAAAATTTTCGATCGTTTATTGCTGAGCATACCGCTGGCGGAGAATTCGTATTTGAAGGAGCCTTTGAATATGCTAATATTGCGTACAATGGAAACTGGCCTGGTGGACCATTGGCGCACTATGACATTCATAGATATGTGGGCAATGGGCAAGCTCTCTTTGAAGGACAATAGCAGCAGCGAACAATTCCATAATATTCGCGTGGAAGACATGAAGCTTCCGTGGTACTTACTACTCTGTGGATTGGGCATTAGTAGTTTGGTTTTTGTTATGGAAATTTGTGTAGAAAAAATAAAGAAAAGGAAATGTGTGAATTACAGATTTCTGTATTAAAATATTATGTAAACAATGTTAAAGAGGGCATGTCATTACTTTGAAAAGTTCGCACTTTTTCAAAGTAAGGACAGTCCCTACTTAAAATTGTTTACGTTATATTTTAATAAAGAATTATTTAGTTCAGTATTTTTAATTAGTTTAACAAAACTTTTGTTGCTGGAAATAATTGGAACGCGAAATATTTTCCTGAGTTTTGGTCAGTGCATGACAGCATGCATCAGAAACAGCAACCTTTTCCAGACAGCACAACAGTGGCGAAGGGTGGCATCGCCGGCTAAAAGTAGTTGTTCAATTCAATCAATTCTCAATTTTATAATCTCGCATTGAATTTACAAGTGGGGGTTATTTTTCCGAAAACCCAAAATTCCACAAAGGAAAATGAAGAGCAGAATGAAAGAAAATACAAGTAATTCAAAAAATAAGCTGCTTATAAGAACTATTAAAAAAAGAAATGAGTTAAGTCACAGTTTTTTTTTTTGAAGAGAATTGTATATATGGAAAAAAAAAGTTTATTTTGAAAATCGTAAAAATACGCCGTAAGAATTTTTATACCTTTCTTAAATGTAGATTTAAGCCATGGCGCAATAAACAGGTGAAGTAATAAAACAGCTTTCTCGCTTTATTTTCTGACATTCGACTGCCAAATTTTATAGGCAAATTTTAAAATAAGGCAGTGTCAAAATTTTTCTTCGCACTATAATTACCTCACCTGGCATAATTCCACCATGAATTTAAGCCAAGGATGCGAATATGTTAAATTTTGTAAGATTTTCTCTACCACAAAAGCAGAATTTTGAAAGACGAAATTGCGAAAAGTAGAATTTTGTGAAATAAAATGTCAAAATGTAGAACTTTCAAGAGCAGAATTTTGAAACAGAAGAGTTAAAAAAGCAGAATTAAAAAATACAGAATTTTTATCGAAAAGAATTTTTTAACATTTTGTGGAATTTTGCGATGTAGAATTTTGTAATGCAGAATAATATGACGCTGCCACTTTTAAGCATGTTTCGAGGAAATTTTTTCTTTTCTGAATGAAATGAGAGACTGACTGAAATGAGATTTTCATGTAATTTTCTTTTGTGTGGTATGTTTGGACTTTATCGTGTGTGGTAGAGTTATTTACACTTTCATTTATTTACTTTTTAACCGGTGCTGGCATCGTTCATTCACATTCGTTCGATGACAGTCAAATCCACGCACCACGTGTTATAAAGGTAACCATTACTATTCGAGCCGAATACGGGACAAAAAATAGTTTTGCAAATTTTTTCCACAATAGCTTACAGATCTGAAAGCCTTCTTTATTGATCCTAAATGTATTAGCCCTGAAACAGTATCCTTATAGTAACATAACGAATTTGTAGGATAATTTTCTCGAGATTTTTACCCCGTAAAATTTGTTTAAAAAATTCGTTAAATTTCAGTATAATAGAGTGCAACTTTGAGTTGCTAAGGCTTAACAATAATTTTTGGCAATGTTTTTCGTTGACTGTGTTACGCATTTTTTTCATACAAAGTAAGTATATTCGACCATTTTTTTTTTAAGAGAAGCAAATGAGCTGTTGAGGCGTTGAAACACGGGACAAATACAGGACATTAAAAGAAATACAGAAAATTTGGCGTCCCGTATAAAATAAATAAATTACTAGGACAATGGGTCAAAAAAGAGGACTGTCCTGTATAATACAGGACGGATGGTCACCGTAAATTTTGCTGCCTTTTCGGATCAAAGCCTGTTTCCTAACGGGTCGTAAATCAAACCTGCGACACTAAATAACTACTCGCTCGAGGTGACAAACTTGAAAAACTTGAAACTTGACAAAATTGTAAATTCTTTTCGATTGATGCTGCACCAGTTGAGAGGACTTTCAGTTATATTTCTTTTTTTATTGCGGTGCAACAATTCCTTTTTGGGAATTGCATCGGGGCTGCAGATGTCGGATGTATCCCCCTGACTTTCATCTTCACAATCTAGCATCATGCCAAGATCGTTGTTTAAACACCGTTATGTTCCAATTTGGAGCACCAATTCTTTTTGTTGTTTTAGAATTTGGAGAACCTGTTGCGCCATCAGCGTTTTTCGATTTTAGTTTTTGTAATTCATTTTTAATCCTGTCTTCTGTGACTGGTTTAAAAAAATGTACGGTTATAGCGAGGTTATGAATAGATGAATATGGCAAACAAATTATTTTCTAGGAATGAAAATTTCGAAGAAAAGTCTGTTTTGAAAGTCGTGGCTGCCGGCAGAATTAATTTAGAATCTTGTTATTTTGTTAAAAAAGTACCCCGTTTTTTATAATGATTTGAATTATGGAATCACGGACGATAAAGGTCTCAGATTTGCTTAGTTCACGGGTAACTTCTTGGAAAGGTTCTCCTATAATGAATACCTTGTAATTAGTTTTTTTTTATTAGTAAGCTGAACTCGGCTTTTCCTAGTTGCAGGCAGTCACAATTAATTACGCACCGCTGTCGATACCATAAGCCATCAAATCCCTTTTGTTGCTCCACTCCATGCACTCAATGTGTTTTGATATATTTTTTTGAGGCGAATGAACGCAAATTTTCAACATATGTATCGTTAACACTATTTCACATTGTCGCTGAAATGCAAACGCAACTAACTAACTTTTTGTATTGCCTAAAACGATGTGGGGACTTAAGATTCGAGGAATTGCATCATAATCAATCAAAAAGTTAATTTTAGATTTTTAGTTAGTTGCGTCTTTTTGCATTTCAGCGACGATGTGAGTTAAGCTCTTCCCATACTATAATAACGATATATTACATGTCCCACTCCTCAATAGATATAAAATTCACCTTGAATTAATTCTTATTTAGTTTGTGAACTTGGCTGTCGACTTGTCAACATATCATTTCATCTTTATTTCGATGCGTGCTAATTTTGACAATTTACACAAAATTAAAATAAATGTTTTTGTTTTCGAGCTGAAAGACTAATAAAGGAAACACGAAACTTAAGAATAATAAGTTTTATGAGAGTTTTATAATTACACTTTTCTAAGAAAAAGTGGAAAAAACTAGCGATGCACCCAATGTTTTCGACAGACCTTTGACAAATAATACTCGATAGTTACATAATTCTTACCTAATTAAAGGTAATAATTTAACGCGCAAATAGTCGACTCTCTTTATAGCCAGCCGTTGAACATTTGCGCTGGAAATACCTACTATTTATTATCTTACTCTTTGACTTTAAATTACGAAAGAAGGTCGAGGTAGGGGTCAGTCTTAACGTAACATCTACACAGGAAAACAAATTTGGCTAACATTTTTTGTTTGCCAGATATACGTTGTATCAGCGCACTTGCACAATATTCGCATTCGCAAAAGCTCCGCATTGATTATTGCGAATGCGAATGCGAATGTTAAAATTTATGCGGAAGTTCCGCGGTTCCGAATGCGAATGCGAATATTCGCAACAACCCTGGTATGTACTTAAGTACTACATTCCATATATTAAAATTGTGTGAGAATTTGCTTTCTTTTTGTGATGCTTGTGTCATTCAATACCACTTTTATTAGTACTTCGTCGTTTTTTACTTATTAACTTCTGTGTTTAAATCATCACGAATAGTTAGTAATTAGAAAATGTTGATATAAATGAACGTAAACAAAGAATGAATGGCTGACACTCAATTTATATGTATTATCGCGTGTGACAGTTTGCTAATGGGATTCCCTAAAAAGCAATTAAAGTTACATTAAGTCAGAAGCAAAGTAAAAAAGGTAAATAAACTACAAAAAAAAAACATATAAAATTAAACGCGTGGCAAAGAGGCGGGTCAAAGTACACTTGAGCCAAATTGATGCGGACGGACCACTAAGAAGGCAGAGATTCGCAATTTAAAGGCGCCGAGTAGCGACAGACAATAGCAGCTAAATAGTAACAAAAAACACTTAAAAAAAAATGTGCTCAAGTGCTACCGCTCCAGCGCAAATAGCAAATCAATTCGCTATAGTCACATGGTGGACAAATCGTTCGCTTGATTCATCGATTAAGCCAAGGAAATCGAAAGTCAGTCGAAAACAAATAATGTAAGCGGCAATCTAATAAATAAAATTTAAGTTAATAAAAAAGTCTCCAAAGCAATAGCAATAAATATGTATGTACAGCAGCAATGGTGCCTGCCGACAAATTGCCAAGCACAAAAGTGAAACCGTTGCAACAACAGTGATGTACTATTGCAAAAATGCAATGCAACAACCACACGAAAGTATTGCTAATAACAGAAGCAGACGATGCCTGCGCTGCATGATCTTCACTGCGTATGCACAAGGAAAATTCAGTAAATGCCCTGCAGGAAAATTTAAGTCACCAAAACTAGTTTATAGAAGAAAGCGTTCGTTTGAATTTGCTGGTCTGAAATTGTATGAAATAGCAATTGTTTGGTTTTTCTGCGGCAATAAGCTTTTGAAGAATTTTGAGGTCTCACCGCAAGGGGTTGCTCCTGGTAAAGACTTCTGTAAGGTAGAAATACCTTTAGACTTTTCAAGTCGATGTTTTCGGCCTGTGTCCAATGAGCTGCCTCGAAATTCATCTGTCCGGTAGTAGTCCTGGTATTCTTAAATGGACCTCTAAGTCTCTCCTGACAGCAGCAACGTCCTTAAGGGTTTCTTGCTTTGCCAGTTCATCATCCAGGCATCGACTTGCAATGTTGCTGTGTTTCTTAGCTCATGGAATCCTAATTAAGAACTCTTCACAGGCGCTAGATCGACAAGTTTAGCTTTAGCCGAAGAGTTTTTTTAACGAGCCATCGACAAACCTAGATCATTAATTGCCGCTAGAATCAATTAGAAGCTTGATAAACAGTGTAATATTGTGGTCAGTTAGTTACCTCCCTTTTTGATAGTGGTATTGGATCCGGTCAGTGGGAAAATGCGCAACGCTACTCATTTAAATAAGCCTAGAATCAAGCGCTTAATACAACTTAGCGTATTCAACAAGCTCGGCGGTACCAGGCCCTATGTCGGCAGTTATATTTGGTACGTAGTTGATGAGGAAAGGGACATCGATCAGATATTTTGTAGACTAAATACCGCTCTTTACTACTCAATAGAGAAATCAATAAGAGATAGTGCCCCTATTCTGTTTCCTGACTTTGTGACACCATATTATTTTAAGAAGTCCTCGTGACCTGGGTTGTACAGGAGAAGGCTTCAGAAATCAATAAGCTATAGCGGATAATTTCCACTCTGACTGGATTAGTGACAACACGCATACCTTCGTGGTTCCCATCAAATAAACAATCGATTG